TTCACCGGCCCGGCCCGACGCTGCCTCCGGGCCGGGCTGGGGCCTAGATTTTGAGCCTGAAGGCCGGGCAAGGGCCCGTCGTTTTTGCATTTTCCTGAAGGTCGGACCGGGCCGGCCCGGAGCCCGACGGGCTTTTACACGTTCGGGCCGGGCTTGGGCCCAGAAAACAGGCCCGATGGCCAGCCCGGGCCAGCCCCGGGCCTGGGTTCTTTGTGTTGGGCTTGGCTAGGCCCGACCTGAAGCCCGGCCCGGACCGAGGTATGGTCATGTATAGCGCTGCGTCGGATGAACGCCACCCATTCTGGTTCTGGATGTTTCCAGCTGCTATACAAGTGAGAGTAACCAAACATTCCTCTCCGAGTCTCGGAGCATACAGATAGGTAGACAGAGCCTGCTACTAGCATATGAGAATTTCGGTAGTTGTAACTTAAGGCAAGGTTGATTGTAAAAAGTGCAAAGGCCACTGATCAGTCAATTGTTACTATACCGAAAAAAACAGCGGGTTGCTTTTGGTTTTGGGTCTCAAAGACAGTGACGTTTAGCCGAAAAGAAGAACAGATTACCGACAACCACGCCACCAACAAACGTGATTACAATACTCATTGAGTAACCATCTAACTACACTCCATTGAGTAGCCCGTGTTGATCCGTGTCGAGGTGGTTTCAAATGCAAAATCCCATGGAGAAGGTAAAAGCAAAGCAGCAACCCTCTTTCCTCCTCCATAAGAAAAGATCCCGGCCTTTTCTCTTCTTTTCGTCAATGTTGTCGCCGGTCCGCCTCATCTTCCATGGACGTTGAGGCTAAGGAGGTGCATAGGATTTTGGCCCCTCACCGACGGTAGGGACTTATTATCGTTCTTGTTACTTTTCGTGTCTTGGCCCCTCACCGGCGGTAGGGACCTGTTATCGTTCTTGTTACTTTTCATGTCTTGGCCCCTCACCGGCGGTAGGGACCTGTTATCGTTCTTGTTACTTTTCGTGTCTTAGTTGGGGCTATGTGACGGCGGCGATGTCGCTTAGTAGAAATAATCTCTTTCACGTTCTATCCCCGGCCTGATGATGCGTCTAGCGTTGCCGAGAGGGCTTGTAGAGGTGTGTCACCGCCGGATCTTGTAGGATTCAATCGGTGTTGGTTTTCGGTGGATCAGTTTAGGTCCGGTGTTCATCCACCTTTGTTTTGGTGTTTACAAGTTTGATCTTTCCGATCCATGACTTGTTTTTGAACCACGACTTCGTTCATCAACGATGGTTGTTGCACTTCTGCGCTGGTCCTATATGTTTAGAGCATCTCCAGCCGCACCCCCAACAGCCCCCCCAGGGCGACTCTTTTCGCGCCGGCACCGAAAAAAACCCCCAGTCACGCCCCCAAGACACCGAAATCCGCCGGCTCGGCCCGTTTTTGGGCCGAGTGATCCCAGGCCGAACCCAGCGCACTAGGGGGCGCTCGGGGGATTCGGCGGAAGGAAAAAACATGCCTGAGCCACACTGTCAGGCAAAAAGTCAAGACAATCGTCCAGATTCGTCCCCCCCACCCCCGCGCGCTCGACCGCCACCTTGCCGATCTCGGTGCCGCTCACCGCCCACCATCGCTTGATAGGCCTTCCCAGTCGGAAAAAGAGAGAAAGTTTCACCGCGGCAAGCTCTCCACCACCTTCCTGGACGAGTTTCCCGGTGTTCCGGCCGCGCAGGGAGGGATACCGGTGGCTGTGCGCCCATCACGCCCACCAGGTGTTCGGCGATTTGTCGCTCGGTCGATGGACTCGGACGACTAGGAGGCGCTCACGACGCTGCTGGAGGAGGAAGCCGATGCCGCCGTCCAGGACGAGGAGCATCTCATGGTCCTCGCCGCCCTGGTCGGCCTGCTCGCGAGAAATGAAAAGCCGCGGCGAGGTGGCTCGGCGCTGGGGCGGCAGAAAGCACAGAACTGGCATCTTCTGGAAGGCTATTGCATGCTCTACTCTGACTACTTCGCCGACGCTCCACTGCACGGCGACAAAGTATTTCGGCGCCATTATCGGATGAGCCGAAAACTTTTCCTCAGGATTGTGAATTCCACCCGGGAGTTCAACAGCTACTTCAAGTGCAAGAAGGATTGCATCGGCAAATTTGGATTCAGCTCAATCCTGAAGTGCACGACAACGATGAGGATGCTCGCATATGGAGCTCCCGGTGATTCACTCGACGACTATGGGCGCATGGTCGAGTCCACGACCATTAAGTGTTTCTACAAGTTCTATAGGACAGGGGTGGCGGTGTTTGGACCGCAATACTTGTGATCACCCAATGCTGAAGACACTGCTCGGATCATAGCACATAATGCAACAAGAGGATTTCCTGGGATGCTTGAAAGCATCGACTACATGCATTGGAAATGGAAGAACTGTCAATTTGCTTGGAAGGGGATGTACAAAGGCGCCAAAGGCGGTTGCAGTGTGGTACTTGAAGCAGTGGCCACACAGGATCTTTGGATTTGGCACTTCTTCTTTGGTATTTGCCAGAAACTCACAATGACATCAACGTGCTGCAGTGCTCCCCTGTCTTTGCCAAGCTTGTTGAAGGTCATTCTCCTCCGGTGAACTTCGAGGTCAATGGGCGACACTACAACACGGGATACTACCTAGCTGATGGCATCTATCCGAGATGGTCTACATTTGTGAAGACTATCTCAAACCCTGTGCCAGGAGGCAAGAACTCCCACTTTGCGAAGGTTCAAAATGGTTGCACGAAGGATGTCGAGCGGGCATTTGGTGTGCTCCAATCTCGATTTGCTATTGTCCGGTACCCCATTTAGACCTAGTCGAAAGATTAAATGTGGGAGACCATTACTTGCTATGTCATCTTGCACAACATGATCATTGAGAGCGAGCAGGAAGAGCCAATGTTTGACACTGAACCATATTACAGGCAGGATCCTCTTGCGCAAGTTGATCATCAGCTATCGGCAACTTGGACTGCCTTCCTCAATATGCGTCAGGAGATCCGAGACCCACAGGTGCATCAACAACTGCAGCAAGATCTGGTGGAGCACCTATGGAGGCTCAAGGGCAACGCATAGCTCGACGTGTGATGAAATATGAGTTTTTATTTGTTGAACTATATAATTTGTATTGAAGTATTTGATTTCTATTGATTTTCTGTGATGAACTATGTGATAAAAAAATAATTTGCGCCGAACCACGGCGAATATGGGCCGATTTACATCGATAATGGGCTGATTTTTTGCCGAAAGTGGGCTGAAAAGCGGGCAAAATAGCGCCTAAAATGCGTCGATATCGGCCCCTGGGGGTGGCGTCTGGAAACTCAATCGCCCCCAAAGCCGACTTTCGCGCCGGCTCGCCTCCTGGGGGGCCAACGGCTGGAGATGCTCTCAGCATGACAACTTTCCGACTGTATATTACGACAAGGTTTGTCCGGCTTCGACGAGGGAGGAATGATGGCGGCCGGACGCCTTCGGCTCGTTCCAGTGCTAGTAGCCGTTGCTAGTTGGTGTACGAATTTGGTTGTAATTTTCATTACCTCTGGTGCTCTTTGTACCTTCATAATTGAAAAATAAATAGACTAAAATTTTCTTAGAGAAAAAAGACGAAGGCAAAACTGCGCCATGATATGATATGATATACGGTAGTACGAGAAGCGAGCGGGGAGGGACACGTACGCCGCAAACCCCGATGGAACGAATTGGTGCGCCGCTCGGTCCGTGTCCGTGTCCGTGTCTTGCTCACGGCGCGCGGGCGACATGCTCGGAGTGTCCGGCTTTACACCCTGTCCGATGGACCCACGGTGGCACGGGATTGCCGCCGAACGAACGATTACTGAATAAATTATCTGATCGAAGACTGATTAGGGAAGGAGTAGTAAGCAAGGCATCATCACCCGGCGGCCGTAGGCGATGTCACGGTGGCGCTGGTAAGCAAGGCATCACCCACCCGGCAAGGCGCCCGTAGACGATGCCGATGCCACGGTGGCTGGCGTTCTATCATGGCAAGTGGTTGGTTGGTTGGACCTTTTGCAGCTGGAAATAATCGACGCCAAGAAGGTTCATTTTTTGGTTCCTCCAATGGCAAAACCGAAATCATCAAGAGACTTTTTTTTTTGCGCGGTAAAATCATCAGGAGACTTGCCAAAGTAAACTCTGAATCGCAGCACAGCAGGTGAGATGTGGACATACGAACATGTATTTTCACCGGCCAAGTTGACCTCCTACTACGTGCGTGGAATAGTAGGGTCCATACGAATAGGCTGCGGTAATAACTTGTGACCACGATCTACTTCCACTTTTGGGGCTCCCGGGCAAACCTTTTGATATTCGCTGCAGGTGCTTTTCCATGTAACTTTTTCATCGGTTCGTTTGACCAGGCCCGCCCGCAGCACGTTCGTTCACGGAGTGCAGTTACTCCGACCTCGTGCCGGGGTGGGACTTTGGATCCCGCCCTACCCTATTCCCCAAAACACAAGACCACACAGCACATCACTAAACTTGGAGGGTGCTTGGATACGTTTTAGTCCCGTGACTAAAAGTAATGAAACTAAAACTTGCTAGTCTCACCCATGCTTGGATACAAATACTAAATAGACTAAAATGAGTTAATGAGCATTTATTATCCTCCAAACCCTCCAATCCCGAACTCGCATGTGTTAAAGGAGAGGAGTTAAATGAGGAGAGAGGACTAATCCATATTTTAGTAGGGTTCCCATGACTAAATTTTTTTAGTCTCAAGACTAGTTCTAGCCTCTTTTTAGTCAGGGGTGATTGGAGCTTTAGCCTCTAAAATAGATTAGTTTTAATCAGACTAAAAATAGTCCCTTGGATCCGAGCATGGCCACAGTCCAGACTCCGTAGTCCACAAGAAACGATCCATCGCCCCCTCGCCTTCGTCTTCTTCTCTTCTCTTCCTCGCCATTGGTCTCGCGATATAAGGAGGCGAGGGGAGAGAAAGAGACGACCCATCGCCCATCGGTCGTCCAGCGTCAAGGCCAACTAGCAGGCAGGCAGCGCAGCCATGGGGTTCTTCACCAAGAGCACCTCCAAGCAGACCGCCAAGCTCAAGTCCCTCATCAAGATCGCCGTCGCGCGCCTCGCCGTCGTCCGCCGCCCCCGCCTCGGCCGCCGCTCCATTGCGCGCGGCGACGTCGCGCAGCTCCTCTCCATTGGCCACCTCGACCGCGCTCTCGCCCGGGTATGTATGTCCATCTCCTCGGCCATACAAGCCCCTCGTCAAATATTCAAATTCCCCTTGCCGTACGGCTGTACTAACGCCGAATGGCGTGTGCTGCTGCGCAGGCGGGGCAGGTCATGGAGGAGGACAGCATGCTGGAGGCGCTCGACATCATCGAGCACTACTGCAAGATCCTCGTCGACCAGTCCGCCCAGTTGGAGAAGCCCAAGTACTTCAACTCTTCCATGGTCCTCCTCTCTTGGTTTCTCCTGTACGTACGGCGTGAGATTCTAATTTGTTGATTATTCAATGACATTCAGAGAGTGCGGCGATGAGATCAAGGCGGCGGCGGCGGGGCTGATTTTCGCGTCGGCGCGCTGCGGCGAGCTGCCGGAGCTGCTGGACGCGCGCGCCATCCTGGCAAGCAAGTTCGGCCGGGAATTCGAGAGGGCGGCCAAGGAGGGCTCCCAGGCCGTCGTCAATCCCACGGTAGGTTCGTCTGCTCCAGCTGCTTCACGTGCCGCATCGCCAACCGTCGCCGGGTGGTGGTGGTGGACCGGAGCTGGGATTTAAGAGGGTTGGTGCTGTTGCAGTTAGTGCAGAGGTTATCTGGCGAGAAGGCGAGCGCGGGGCAGCAGAGGAGGTTGGCCAGGGAGATTGCCGCCGAGAACGACATCTTGCTCGACTTCCCCGAAAGCCGAGGAGAGGTTCATCAGGTTAGTTGCAGGCTGCACGACTCGTCTTGTTCATGCGAATTTTGCGATCCTATCTCATGAGTCAGTTGCATAATGCTAATGTGGTAATGTGATTTGGGATGCAGAGCAAACAGAGTGAACAGGCCAAGAACGTGCCGGCGCCGGCTGGGAAATCTGTCGAACAGCCTGAGGTCAGGACCGAAACTTCCGAGGTCAGTCCGTCAGTGTCATGTCATCGGACAAAAGATCATCAGGCATTCCCATTTGTAATCTAAATGGTGAGAAATTCAATGTGTGACAGGTGCAGAGGAGGCAGAGGCTTGCCGATGACAACGTGAGCCGGTCGAACCTTGCCCGGCAGAGAGCAGAGGAGAAGGCGTCGAGGGAATCCAAGAAGTACGACGATGTCAGGATGGCGGCGGAGGCAGCGTTCGAGTCAGCGTCGTTCGCCGCCATGGCCGCCCGGGCGGCAGTGGAGCTGTCTCGGACGGAGTCGCATGGGAAGGGACCGAGAGGCGGCGGCCGCGGGCACGATAAGGTCCATCCTTTGCAGAGTTCTGGAGCAACCGAGCGGGAGACGCGGCCGCCGGGGAAGCCGCAGAAGCCTCCGTCTCCGTCTCCGTCGCCGTCGTGGAGCGACAAGAGCACGGTCTCCTCGGTATGGTCGGACGCACCAGCACGGGACGCGCCATCACCGCCGAAGGGGAAGAGCATTGTGTTCGACCGGAGCGACGGAGAGGACGACGATGTCGTGGAGGACCTCGTCTGGACTCCGCAGCTGCGTCGGCCTCCCTACAACAACAGAAGAACGGCCTCCGCAATGGGCATGGACGGCGTCGGCGGCGACGACAACACGCACGGCGCGCGGCGCGCGGAGTTCCAGGACAGCGTGCCCAACGGCTCGGAAGACGCGCGGCCGACGCACAGGAGGCACGCCTCGGAGCACGCCGGCGGGGGCGTGCGCCGCGAGGCCCCGGAGCAGCCCGGCCAGTACAGAGCCCCTCCGTACAGGAGGAGCCCCGCGGCCGATGCAGGCAGCAACGGCGGCGCGTACGAGAGCTCGGCGTTCGTGGTCCGTGCGCCGTACGCGAGGATCACGTCCGCGCTGGAGGGCGGCAACGAGCACATCGCGCGGCACGAGGAGGTGCGCAGGATGGGCACCGACGCGCGGCTGCTCCAGGAGCAGGTGTACGGCCCCGCCGCGCCCGGGCCGGGGCGCGCGCCCCTGACGCCGGACAGGAGGGCCATCTCGGTGCGCACAAGGAGATGATATCACTTTGGTGCAGCAGTACATTGGTCAGTTCACTTCAGACTTGGGAGCTCCATCCAGCTCGACTGGAAAATGGGACGCCGGAAACGGCGTCGCCGGCAGCCCGGCATGGCGGTGGTTTCCCGGACTGGCTTGGGAAATCAGACGTGGGGTACGATGCTGGATTTTTTTGTACATAGGAAGTGAGGGTCATTGACTCATTGACATGTGAGTAATTGTCCATTGTTTTGTTTTGTCCTGCAATGGGAGGAGTTTTGCGTGTGTTCTTGAGGCCGAGATGGGTTGCGTAGATGCAGAATTGTTTCTGTTGCGACGCACACAACTCGGCTTTGTCTGTCACGAAGCACGCATTTGTGATGGTGAGCTGGAGCCCTGGGAGACTTTTTTTCGAGGGTACGCAAATTTGCGTACTATAGCTTTGTAGAAGGAAAGAAAATTAATACTCCCTCCGTTTAGGTGTGTAAGTCATCTTACGAAAATCAAATATTCTCAAAACACTTAGGCGCGGTGCATTAAATTGTACCTCGTTTCTTGTTTCTTGACATATCAACCAATAAGAGATGTGGGGTGTGCACGGTTTTAATGACTTGAGACTACCAAGCACGACATACAGTGGTTAGTTCATTGCATGCAATGTTATTAATTAGCAAATGAACATTAAGTACTCTCGTTTTCCCTTCCTTCTTGGTCACGGTGTACAACTTAAGATGACTTAGGGGGTGTTTGTTTCCAGAGAGTCCCTAGCAAATCAAACAGGGTGGGACTTTTTTGGGACTTTTTGCTAAAAGTCCTTAGAAGCACCTCCTTGATAGTCTTTTTCAAAAAGTCCCAGGGACTAGAAAAAGTCCTAGGACTAGAGAAACAAACACCACCTTACTCGCCTAGACGGAGGGAGTATATGATATCTACCGCTCGCTGCGAACAACGAGTATAGCACAACACCACATCCGACTATCATCAGAACAGCCACACATGACAACACAACTACAACACGGAAAAACCTGCCCAAAACCGAAAAACCTCGCCGCGTCTTAATCGACACCGATCACCTCTGAAGAATAGCAACTCCAGCTTCCTTTGGATTCATCCGCGACGACCATATATAGCACCGGAGGAGAGCGGTCAGGGCCACGACGAACACCGGAGGAGCGCCAACAGGAAGCTCAGTCTCCTTGCATGATGCTCCCAACAGAGAAACGACGTCGCAGACGCCGCCAACATGCCGCTCCAGAGGACCAAGGCTTTTGCCTGGAGACAACTGCCAACACCAATCACAAGGGAGATGGCTACACACTCGACGTCGCCTCCAGAGAAGGGAACGACACCCGTGGGTGCCATCGACGCCGGCCGGCCAAAAACCGGACATGATTTTCATCCGTGACGTTGCGCATCTCCACTCTGACGAGGTAGGCAGCACCGTTCCTGAAGCCTCGCACCGCCATCACCGCAGCAAATCCGCCGAAGCCGCGAAGCCGAGGTCCAACAGCACCCGCACTGCCGAGAGAGCGTGAACCAGACCTCCACCAACATCGCCATCGAGGAGCAACCACAACCTCCAAGCAGAGCAAAAGCCAGATCCGCTCCAACGTCCTTCATCGACACCAAGAGACTGCCGCCAGATTGGATCTGGCCCGCCCCTCCAACCTCACTCCGGCGCCAACTCCACCGGGGCATCACCGCGATCCCCTCACACGGAGGCGGCCGGACGCCCACTGCATGCCAAGACACCCTACTGGTAGGGCTATCTCGGCGCCGCCGCCCCCATGGCTGATCCAGCGCCGCTGCCGCCGCCGCCGATGCTGGCTCTCCACCTGCAGCCACCAACCAGAAGTGCTCCTCGCCAGGATCAGGTGAAAGCCCTTGCCTTGCCCCCGCTGTGCCTCCAACCGAACCGCGAGCCCCCGCGCCGCCCGCGAGAAGAACGCCGCGCCAGACCACGCCCGCGCCTAGCAAGCGCGCCGCCACGCCGCTCGCGCCAAGACCGAACGCCACCAGCCTTCGCGCTGCCGGCCAGACGCAACTCCCACGCGCGAAGGAGGTACGTCGGGGCGCGTCACCCCAGCCCCCGCGCGTGTCGCGACCGACCAGCTCGCCGCGCTGCCCTGCTCCATCTCCTGCCCGCGCGCCCCCACTGGCCACGACGCGCCGGACTCCGAGCACCGCTGCCAGAGCGAAGAAGAAAGCCCCCCACGGCCCCTAATGCAGGAGAGCGCAAGTAGATCCCGCCGCCACCGGCACCGCACGGGCTTTGCCCGGTGGCGGGGAGGGGAGGAGGAGGGAGGATCGAGGGGCCGACGGCTAGGGTTGAGCACCCGGGTCGCCCACGGGGAAGCGACACGGGGTCCGGGCGGCGTCACTTTATCTTGGAGCCTGGGAGACTGGATCCACGAACCCACACTGCTCGATTTGGTGCCTCCAAGCAACCGATGCTGCTCGATTTGCCTGGTGATTTTAGGCAATAGCCTCGAGGAATACGTCATCTCTCAATTATATTGCTACCCACCCGTATTTCTTCTTGAACCATCACACTTGCATGCTAGGGCATTTCCAAACATGAGGACCGAGGTGTGTCTGCGGACGCGTCCTCTTGTCCCAAACCCCGCAAACTGGACGCAAACCAGAAGAAGCTTTGCGGGCATCCGGACCGCCGCCACATACTCGTCTGGCACCCCGGTCCTACCCCAAAATCCTCTCCGCCCGAAAACCCTCTCCGTGCGAAGCGGTCGCCACACATTTATACCGGTCAACCCGCTATAGAGCGGACGTGGCTCCGTAGGGCATTGTTGTCGGTTAGAGTGACGCGACCGGATGAGGGGGCGACGTCGCTTCAACGCCAACACGGCGATCGAGAAGCCAATTCCGGTCGATGCGCCAGATTGAAGTAGGGTGCCCGCCCGTTTGCCTAACCACGACCATGTAAGCGCGGCTTCATCCACACCACAAAACCTCTCTGCTCCTCTTTGTCTCCACCGATCACCACCTTTCCATCTTTGATTCCCGCATATCCTGTCCTCTCCGCTCACCAGATGTTGCCAAAGTAGAGGTTCTCCATGCCGGCAGGTGGCGGCTTTGGATCTCCTCTCGGGTCTGAATCTTGGCGCTGCCGCCGACGCTATCTGGGGCCATCGACCTGCACGGCGGTCAGCTCCTCCGAGAAGAAGGATATCACATTGTCCTCCAACAACAAGGAGAAACAGAAGCCGTAGCAACCTCACGGAGGCGGCAATCGCGGATGAGGAGTACCAGGAGCAAATGGAGCTCATGATTGAGCGGCCGCTCCGGTACCACGGTCTCGCGTCGCCCTTGCTATCGTGAGCCTGCGTCAAGGAGGAGCCTGCCTCGCCACCGCGGCAAGGCGGAGCCGGTGCCCCCCTCCCGCGCAACCGTGACGTCCAAATTCAACTGCGACAAGGTGATGACCATCAAGGCAAAGTACCCCTTTACCAGTAACTGATGAACTACCATGAACAAGGATCTCGCCCCTGTCTTGAGGAAGTTTGCACTAGTATTCTTTGAGGACATACTCATCTACACCAAAAGCTTTGAAGAACACTTAGCGCATGTGGAAAGGGTGTTAGAAATCTTGCTCTAGAAGAATTGGGGGGTTAAAGTAAGCAAATGCGATTTTGATGAATAGTAAATTGCATATTTAGGCCATATCATCATTGATAAAAGGGTTGTCTACTAATGCTACAAAAATTGTTGCAATTTAGAACTGGTCTACTCCTAAAATGTCAAGGCGGTGAGAGGATTCCTTGGTCTCACAAAATTATTATTGGAAGTTCATAAAACATTATGGCATTATCGGTAGGCTTATCCGTCTATGACTGATTTATTGAAGAAAAGTGCTATGTTTATCAGGACTTCTGCGATAGACAGTACATTCAAAACTCTCAAGCATGCTCTAGTCAATGCTCCAGTATTGGCACTGCTTGATTATTCCCAACAGTTTGTTGTGGAGCTGATGCGTGTGATGTTGGTATATGAGCAGTCCTGATGCAGAATGGTCATCCTTTGGCTTTTGTCAGTAAGACCCTTGGATCGAAAACAAAAAAACTGACAAGGAGTACATGACAATTCTTCTAGCTTGAAAGTGCATTTAGTCCCTTTGGTGTTTCGGAGTGATGAGAATGTGGTCAGTTGGACTAGTGACGATTACGGAGTTTATCTTAGGCATTGGTTCTTCGAAGATTGTTTTGAGGAAATGGTTGATCCCCACCACCACTTCAAAAAGAGAAAATACATGGTTATCCAGATTCGGGAGTTTTGTGTTGGTTTGTTTTGACTCATAGGGCAACCACACTATTAAGAGGTTCGAGGTGCTTGGGATTCTCTTCTAATAGGGAGAGGACGGAGGCAGATCCTTTGACGTACGGCCAGCTGCCATTGCGCCACTGACGCATGGGCCCGGGGCCACATGTCAGTGGGCGTCACGACACGTTAGAGGAGCTGTGTCCGGAGAGGACACATGCATACATGCAAAAATCTGTCGAATCATGTTGACAGCGTCGCTTTAGTTGCTAAATTCAAAATTTTCAAATGATTTACCTCACAAACTGTAAATCCAATTCACGATCCGTCTTCACCTGGGAGTTAGCCTTGACAAGGTCTTCAAAACAAGATCCCATGTTGTCATGTTTTGATGATTTTTTTTCATCGCCACTAGTTGCCAGATCATGTCAATATAATTGCCATCTTTACAGTAAACAGTTGCCACAAATGATTGTGTATATGCTTTTAGATGTTAAAATGTTACACGAGCTAGACATCGGGTACTCAAGTGTTAACAACAAGTAAGAATCAACATCAACACATGCCAGTACCACAAACCAAGTTTTACTCCCTCTGTTTTTAAATATAAGCATTTTCAGAGATTTCAATAGGGACTACATGCAGATGTATATAGACGTATTTTAGAGTGTAGATTCAATCATTTTGCTTCGTGTGTAGTTCATATTGAAATGGAAGGAGTAAAACTTGGTTTGTGGTACTGGTATGAG